GGTTTTAGTGATGGATTTGGGGCCTTTTGTCTGTTTTGTCGCAGTTAAGTTTAAGGAAGTTGGTGTGCATCCAGGATTTAATGTCAGTGAGGCAGTTGGAGAGAGTGGAGTGAGTGGCAGAGGTGATGGATTTGGTAGAGATGTAAAGCTGGACGTCATCGGCATAACTGTGAAAATCATCCATTTTCTCCTTCTGTAGTTTGTAAAATGACTCATCTATTTCACCAGAGCTTCTCTTATATGTAGTATACATGCAGTCTTGAAAGCTTTTCTATTAATGGAAGCACATGGAAGTTTAAAGCTGCATATATGTGCATGAATGAATGGATGTATCAATGCTAAATATAAAACAAATAAAGAAAAAAAGAGTGCAATTACTACAGCAATTTCTTCAGTCCACTGTTTGTTTGTTTGACCTTGGTGGCAGCCAATAAGATCCCCCTGACTCATCCTCGGAGTATTGGATTTGCCACTCAGGTTGATGACTCACTCAATAAAAAAAAGCGAAAGTGGCAAATGATCTTTGGGCTACAGCAGCTGCTGTCCTTTGTGGGGCAATGTTAGCTTGGCGTGCAGCTTTCATCCTCAGACCGAGCAGAGATGATGAGTTTGTTTGACCTCGGTTTTATCAAATTTCCAATAAGACATCAGTGCTTATATACAGGGGCTGAGTCATGGACCCAATTGGTCAATTACACAGTGCTGGAGTGGGCACTCTGTGGGTGTAGCGTGTGTGATAATTCAGAAAATATTACAAGTATTTGCTTCATTATCATCTGTAGATGCATTTTTAATACTGTGATATCTTGCTACATGTAGCTACAGTATGTTTATGCTGTCTGTCTCTCACAGTGGTTGCTCAATACAGTGTAAAACTGAAGACTTTTTGCCAGTCATTAATGTTAACATACAAGTCACAAAATGTTGGGGTATTCATATCCACATATCCATCAACTCAGAGACTTCAGTCCTAAGTAGTGTCTCCAGCCTCCAGCATGGCCTTTCCAATAAACACACATTTTGGTGTTTTGTAGTAAGAGGGATAGCATCTACCTTCAGGCTGGTGGAAACAACATTCAGTAGGAGACAGTCAAACAAAACATAAAGTTGTGGGGCGGACAGCTAAAGAATGAGCTGAAATTTGCCATAAAGCTGAGAGAAGATTTAGCTTCAAGTGATATTTCTCTGTAGGTTTATTACTATGCACATTTTATATTGTTTTTACATTGTCATTTAATACATTATTATATCATCCTGTGGTGAACATGATAACCTTTAGCTGATTAGCTTATAATAGACATGAGTAGCTGTTCAGTTTTCACTAGTAATATATCCCCATTGAAGAAACAATCACTGATGTAATGTACAGTATGTTATTTACATCTCCCTCAGGTATTTATGGGATGTGTTTCATTAACCTGTGTGATTAAAGTATTTTACCTGCAAATTGACAGACAGAACAACATAAGCATTTCAATAAAAACATTTTTCATCTTGAGATAGAAATGGACATAATCTGTGTAATTTTGTCGCTTTATTGCTTAGTAAAAACAAAGTATATATTTTCACATACAACATTTTGTTCCTTCAATAAAAGGCACATTCTTGCAATGTATCTGCACACTGTGCAAGAATAATTGGTTAAAATATATTTTTCCAGTTTTCACAGAGTTACAGCTTGCAATAAAGTCCAACATACATCACCATTATGTTGTTTTGGGTTCGGTTTGTTGTACCTTGGGTGAAAACAGGTAGCAGATATTTCTCATTGTTGGAACTTTTAAGGCAACACTTGAAAAAGACAAGGTGAAAAGAGGCAAAATAATAGACAATCCATTGAATTCAGCAGAGTTTGTGCTTGACAGATTTAAACTTGCAATGAAAGACAGGATCTTTGCAAATTTTCAACATTCTTGACAGTCCAAGGTTCCGTCTGTAAGAGCTCTGTGTTTTATGGGTTTCCACAGGACAATCAGGTTTCACTGTGGTTCTCCCACCCTGGGAAAGGACAGAATACACAAAGTGAATTCATTTTAAAATTTAAATAAGTACTTTTAAGTAAGTAAAATTCCGTTGACAATAGATTGGTTCGTTCTTTTTCTTTTACCTCCTTCCTCATCACAAGCTCATGCTGTATGATTGTATTCTGCATGTTGTTGTGTGTGGTCTGACCAGCTTTTCTGCTCTCAGCCAGCGCCCTGGATCACTGCTGTACCACGGGGAATGTCTCTGAAGCAGCACGTTGTTCACTTGTAGCTTCTTATCTGGACAACAGAGAAACAGAGGCAAAATAAACAGACAGCTTACAGCAGCTCAAACAATGTGTTGTTTAGTTAGACAAGCTGATTATTTAACAAATTTAAAGAATGCGGCTGGCATCATTCTGTTTTCTTTTTGTCAACAAATCCCACAAAAAGACCAAACCAAATAATGTGTTATTTCATCTCTCAATACTTTCCAACTTCTCTGCCTGTGGCACTCAGCACCATGCCAATTTGTTCCTGGTGAACATGTAAATCTTTAAAAATAGGTAGCATATATAAGTCTCAGTAATTTCCTAAAACAGCTGGTCACTGTAGTTTTAATCAAATGTTATTTAAACAGGAGAAAATAGTGCATTTGTTGGGGACTATTTTCAACTGCGGACTAATACACATTTGTGAGTATTTCTGGTATCAGGATGATGTATTTTGGATTAACTGAATATAAACTACAGTGCACTTCTTCATGGTGATAAGGAAAGATGGCACCCATTTATGTGTTTTTAATAGTTTTCGGACATGGAGCTCTATGGCACTGACAAATAAGATGTATCAGGCTTTGGGTACACACACTTTGGTTGGCAGAATTTGTGGACGATAAGAAAGAAAAAATATAACCAGACATGTCCTTTAAAGGCATATTCAACTTTGTTAGACTTGATCACACAGTATTAGCATCCAATATTTGCACTATTTGAGGTCACCATTCAATGTACTCCAGGTGCTTGACTGAAATGACTGAAAAACACAATGCATTTGACAACAAATAAAAGCCCCACTTTGTTACAGACAAAATAGGTTTAAATAAAAGTTATTATTGTATTATTCACCTGTTTAAAGTTGATCATTGTTTCATGATCTTTTTCTTTGGAAGACGCCTCATTTCACCATCCAGTGGCCTCAATTGGAGCCATGGTTGAAGTGGTCCAGCACAGTGGCATTGGTTCTCTCAAACAGCCACTGCTGGCTAAGAGAGGAGGGGTCGCACATGTTCATGAAGACTCGCCGCTCACTCGGGCTGCTGTCGATACAGCTGTTACTGACGGGGTGATACAGACTCTTATCCTGGACGGAACAAAGTAAGGAAGTTAATATGATTTTGGTTATATATATATGATTTTCTTGCAAATAAATACAGCCAATAAAAAACATTATACCACTAATCCTACATATTTCTAAAACTGGCTTGTATTTTTGAATTTGATAGTCTGCAGGGTCGTG